AAAAGAAAGCTGGATGGGGTGGTGCATGCCTGTAATCCCAGCACTAGGGAAGCTGACTAGGGAAGCTGAGGCAGGAGGACTGCCCTAAATTCAAGGCCAGTGTGGGCTACATAGTGAGACCCTGCCTCAAAACAACTTGATGAGCTAAGGATATATAGCTCAGTGCCTCCTGGGTTCAATCCACCAAACCACCGTATCACACATACACAAATCACTCTAGCTGCAATGCGGAGGAAAGTTGAGGAAAGCGAACCCTGGAGAGAAGAAGACAAATGAGAGCCATGATCAATTCTTGCTGGCAGAAACTGGAAGCAGTCTGTGCACCCAGGAGGCTGAGGAGGGGGATCAGTGTGAGTTCAAGGCTAGCCGGGCTACATAGTGAGACCCTGTCTTAAATAAATAAATAAATAAATAAGACATTTAATGATTAATAGGAGAGGGGAATCTAATTGCAAATGTCTAGATTTCTGCCTTGGGTGGCAATAGGAATACTTTTTCTTCACAAGATTGGGCAGAATGAGAAGCTCTCAGTACTGTGGTGGTCACCGGTAATGTCACCAGGCCACACTTTTACTGTGCAAACACTAGCTTGCAAAGAGAAAGCCCAGCAAATTACAGGTCCTCTGAAGTACCATAGTATTTATCCAAATTTTAATTGGCATGTTGAAATAGGGTTAAAGTTTTAAAAGAGGGGAACAATATAGTAAAACCTAGATGAGGCCTAAGAATTATAGGAATTGTCCTCTCTGCTGAGGTGTGAGGCCTGGAGCTCACCCTGTGCTCAGCACCACCCACTGTGCAACCTTAGGTAAGGCACTGCCCCTCTCTGAGCCTCAACTTCCTTTTTTTTTTGTAAAGTAGAGATAATAATAGTGCTTTTAACTTTTTTTTTTTTTTTTGAGGTGAGGTTTCACTACGTTGGCCAGGCTAGGCTCCAATTCTTGAGCTCCAGTGACTCACCCGCATCAGCCTCCTGGGTGCTGGGTTTGAAGACATGCTCTGCAGAGCCCAGCCATTAGATAGTACTTTCTACAAGGGAGGCTGCAAAAATAAAATGAAAGGGTTATATTGCCCTTAGCATAGTGCCTGGCTTATTGTAAGCACTTAATAAGTGATAGCTATTATTAGTATATTTTGTACCTGCCATTTGATTTTTTTTTTTTAATAAATAGGGTCTCATTATGTAGGTTAGGGATCTAGAACTCTCTATGGGCCTACACTGGCTTTGAACTCATTACAACCTTCCTGCCTTGGCCTCCTCTGTGTTGGAATTGCAGACGTGTACCACCATCCCTGGCTCTGCATCTGTCATTTGAGCATGCACATTTTGCCTTATCGAATTCATTCGTCCATGTCTCATCTCCCTGAATAGATTGTAAAAATCTTGAAGGAAAGATTCAAGCATTTTCTTTATTATGTTTTAGGTTTTTGTGCCACTTGGAATCAAACCCAGGGCCTCATGGGTGCTAAGCAAATGCTCTACCACTGAGCTACACCTTCCACTACGCAGGTTTTTATTTGATTTTTGTTTGTGGTACTGGCCTCAGCATACTAGGAAAACTGTACCACGGAGCCACACTCCACCCCTGGCCCTGTTAATGCTTTATTGTGAGACAAGAGCTCATGAAAATGTCCAGGCTGACCTCAATTTGCGGTCTTCCTCCATCAGGATTCTGAGTAGCTGGGATTAATTACAAGCACGCACCACCATGCCCAACACTACTAATTTCTAAAGAAATGCTGCACACTGAAAAAGGTCATATTTGACTGCACTTTGCAGAAATGTGAAGTGACTTGTCCAAGGCCACGCAGCCAATAGATGCCAGAATTTGCATTCAAATTCAGTTCTCTGTGACACCAGTCTTATTTTTTATATGCTTCCTTTTGAACTTAGGAGTTCCTTCCCCATGGTACATTTCCCCAGTTATTGTAATTAGTGACTGTAAAGGAAGAGTAAGGTTCATACATTTAAGAAAACTACTGGCCAAAGGGGCCAGGGAGATAGCTCAATAGGATAAGCACTTGCCTGGCAAGTGCAAGGGGCTGAGTTCAATCCCCAGTTCCACAAAATAATAATAATAACAGAAATAAATAAAATTATTGGCCAATATTGGACTGGACTCAAAGGATAGATCCAGTATGTGCCCAGCTTCCTAAGCACAGCTGACTATGGACATGGATTACAACACATACACATACACACACACACACTCCCCTTTCATCAGTTTTCTAGACTGGCCTACCTAAGAACTACCTTCTCCCCTATTAAACTCAACATTAGACTTGTAACTTTAGTGTTAAAAACCATTTCTCCGGGAATAAGCTGACATTTATTGGCTACTTCCTGCATGCATAGCCCTCGAGAGAAGGCACAACCATTGCTTTTCAACCTAATCACCCCT